TCTCTCTCTCTTCTTCTCTCTCTCTCTCTCTCTCTCTCTCTCTCTCTCTCTATCTATTTATCTATCTTCACGCATCTCAAATTTAAATGTAAATCTTAATATGTTAAGAGAAACACATCTAGAACAAAGTTGAAAAATTAAAAAATGGTTGGATATCTTAAATTGTCATTAAATACAAAAATTGTCTCAAAGTTTATTATATTTAGATTATCATATTTATTTCAGATTATATTTATTAAAAGTTTCTCCTAAAAGAAAAGCTACTATAAAATATAAAAAATATGATTCTAAGTATACGGCTATGCATTATATTCTTTCTACACTTCTTTCATAAAAAGATCATTAGTCATTTTGTTTATTTTTGATTCAAGGAATATAAAAAATTGTAAAAAATTTTTTGAAGAAACATTACTTTAGAAAAATTATACAAGATATTGAAAAATTAAAAATGCTTAAGAAGCGTTTAGATCAGAAAACTTTTGAATGAACCATTTTATACATATCTTACGTCATATTGTTATATATTGTTTATTGTATTATATTGTCTGTTGTATTATATCGTCTATTATAAAGTGTTTGATGCATAATTTAAATATAATTTAATACGAGCATAACATTCGTGACAACAAAACATATATTTGATTAAAGTTATTTTGATATATTTTCATAGAACGCACAAAAAACAACGCGCTATGATGCGTAAAAAGGGTTTTAATTGACGCATACGACATTCGCTTAATTAATGCATTTTTCTACGTTTCGAGCGAATCGTTTCGATGTGGATCGTACACATCACAAATTGCAAATCGTTTCTTTTTTCCCTTTTTTACGCTGTCGCTTATATGCGATGTTCCAATAATCACAGGAAATCGCTTGCAAGCACACGTTTGCGTCGCACTGCTGATTTCACACTAATGCAAATTACTAAACGAAATTACTAAAGCTAATGCACGAGTCCAAACGAACGCACTTTCATTGGGAACAAAATGCTTCTCGCATTAATTAGCCAATCATGAGGCACGTTTAGTCGGTACTTTGCAACATCTGCAGGGCATTCCAAATGTATTGTAATCACGTTTGTTAAATGATGTTATCGCCAATAGATTATCCGAATAACATATCAGTGGTACTGTTGCGCCTATCGACTTTGTATCAATTTATGCATTCCTAAATGCGCGTTTGCATCATTATTCGTAGATCCGATTCCGATAGGCATTGTTATCGAGATAATTATTACGACAATTATTGTTTCCATAAAGGACGTTATGATATCACCATAAACATTTTAACACTAGTTGCAGCAATAATCTATGCATGTGTGATCGTGCATGTTTGATCAAAAAAAATCAATAATGTATTATATTTGCTGCGATCAATATCAGAATAAATTGTAATAAAATGAAAAGTATTGAAGAATACATTATTGATTTTTTGTTTTATAATATACTAAAACATTACAAAGCGCGCCATTCGCGCACGCCATATACGATTTAACATTATAATTTTATATAAAATATTTACATCATATATTATATAATCTCATCACTAAAACTTCACAAGTACTATTAATGACATTAAGACTTAACAGTTATTCTTGTAACACAAAGAGATCAAAGCGAAAGAACAATCAACGCCGTGGCAAAGCATCGAATTAAAATCTTACATGGCCTATTTTACGAATAAAATCTAATATAAAAATAACTCTTAATATATCCACAACGTATTAAATTTTGTGTGAAATATACAAATTTACAAACATATTGACAAATATCTCCGAAAAT